GCAGCCCGGGGTCGCCCCGAGCTGGGGGCGGGGGTAGCGGGCCGCCTGGGGCGGGGCGCTGGGCCGCTATTAGCTCGGTTCTCTCGGACGGGGACCCTCCCCGCTGCGGTCTCCTCGGAGGAGCTTTAACCGTATGAGGGCGGCCTCTCTCCGGGCCGCCGCGACTCCTCGGCGCCCGCGCCGGGCCCCGGGTCTCTAAGGGTCACGACGCTGGAGAAAGATGCTCCAGGACGAGGCTGGGGGTGCGGGCGAGGGGTGCCCGGGCCACGCGCCTATTCGTGCCCAGACGACTTGACCGACATTTCGTCCTTCCGCTTTACCTCCCGGGGAGGGACTGAGGTGTTCGCCCTTGGTTAGAAAGCCCGGGTATGTTTCATCCTAGTTTCTGTGGCACTGGCCACTGAGCTGTGTGTGACTGCTCCAGTTTTTCTTTAATTGGCCCCATATTTCAGTCCCGTTTTGGAGATCTGCTGACTTGTAAAAATAGCAGGAAAAGGGCTCTTGTTGAAAATGCCTCCACATGCATGCCGAGGGGGGAGATAGAAGTGGATGTGGATTAGAGACCCACGTGAATTTGCAAGTACCCTTAGCTGGTCTTTGTGCACGATCGGCTTGGTTTGGTTGCTATTTTCCTTACCCTTGGAGAAGTCAACGTTTGTTTTCTTTGGAAAGTTATTTAGAAAACCTATGCTTTGCACTGCCCTTACAATAGTAGACTTCACAAACGTTAACTTGTTGATAATCAATTGGGAAGAAAGAGGCAACAACAGCCCAATTATCTGGAAATTATTGCGGTATATCCATTTGTTGTTGTCAGGTGTCTTCGAGTCGAGTACAACCCATATCAACCTTGTGAACAACAGATCTGAACCCTATCCTATTCTGTGCCATCCTCACACTTCCTGACAGACACGTAAGAGCCCATTGTGGGGGTCACTGTGTATATCCATATGATAGAGGATCTTCTTCACCAACCGACCATTTCGAGGTGTCCCTCTCCAAGGAATCGCCCCTCCTAGCAACATGATCAAAGTATGTGAGATGAAGTCTCATCACCTTTGCTTCCAAATAACATTCCAAGTGGACGCACTCCTGTTCTTGTTGTTATGTGCCGTTGAGTCGTTTGCGACTCAAAGCGACCCTATGCACAACAGCCCTAAACCCTGCTCTATCCTGCACCAACCGCACTGCCTCTGACACACCCATCCCGATTACCCCAGTCACCGAATCAATCCATCTCATAGAGGGTCTTCCCCTCCTGCGCTGTCCCTCCACCCTCCCAAGCATGATGTCCCTCTCCAAGGACCCGTCCCTCCTGGCAACATGTCCAAAGTATATCAATCTTCCACCAATCCTGATGCCACAATTCTCTCCTAGACATGTTTATTTGTTCTTTTGGCCATCTGTAGGATGTTCAGTGCTCTTCTGCAATACCACAGCTCAAAGGCATCAACTCTCCTTCTGTACTCCCTAGTCATTGTCCAACTCTCTGATGCATAATAAGCGATTGCAAAGACCATGGCCTGTATCAGGTGCGCCTTAGTCTCCAGAGAGACACCGTGGCTCCTGAGTACTTTAGAGAGGTCCCTAACAGCAGACTTTCCCATCGCGATACGCTTTTTTATTTCCTGACTGCTGGTGCCAAGAGTGTTGACTGTGGAGCCGAGCAAACTGAAGCTGTGAACAATCTCAATCTCTTCACCATCCATCCTGATGCTGCCAATTGGTCCAGTGGTGAGAATCTTTGTCTTCTTGACATTGAGCCTCAGTCCATACTGAAGGCTGCATTCCTTGACCCTCCGCAGCAAGTGCATGAGGTCCTCCTCAGTTTCAGCAAGCAGGGTTGTGTCATCTGCATAACGCAGATTGTTAATAGATCTTCCACCAATCCTGATGCCACAATTCTCTCCTAGACATGTTTATTTGTTCTTTTGGCCATCTGTAGGATGTTCAGTGCTCTTCTACAATACCACAGCTCAAAGGCGTTAATACTTCTGTCACCCTTATTCTTGTCCAGCTCTCAGATGCAGAGCAAGCAATCTGAAAGGCCATGGCCAGATTCAGACACACCTTATTCCTCAAATTGGCAGCATTACTCCTCGAAATTTGGAGAGGTCCCTAACTGTAGACTTTTCCAGTACAATACATCTCCTGATTTCCTGACTGCTAGTACCAAAGGTATTAATTGTGGACCAAGTAAGATGAAGTTATTGACCTTTTCCATCTTTTCCCCTTTCACCATGACACTGCCTGTTGATCCAGTGGTAAGAATCTTTGTCTTCTTTTCATTGAGATGCAATCCATATAGAAGGCTGTATTTTTTTTATTTTCTGCAACAGGTGCTTCAAGTTCTCACTTTCAGCAAGCAAGGTTGTGTCTTCTGTATAACACAGGCCAATTCTGATGCCACAGTCCTCTTGATAATGTCCAGCTTCTCAAATAATTTTCTTAGCATACAGATTGAATCAGTATGGAGAGAGACTACAACCCTGTCTCACTTGCTTCCTAATTTTAAACATGTTAGCCATAACTTGTTATAACCCACACAGTCAAATGCCTTTGCATAGTCAATAAAGCGTAAATAGACATTCTCCTGGTATTCTTGACTTTCTGCCATAATACATCTGACATCAGCAATGATATCCCTAGTACCACTGCCTCTTCTAAATCCTGCTTGAACTTCTGGCTGTTACTGATCTATGTACTGTTCTAGCCATTTTTGAATGATCATCAGCAGTATTTTGCTTACAGGTGATACTTATGATACTGTTTAATAGTTTCCACATTCTGTTGGATCACCTTTCTTGCGAATGGGCACAAATATGGACCTCTTTCAATCTGTTGGCCAGACAGCTGTCCTCCAAATTTCCTGGCATAGACTGGTAAGCACCTTCAGGGCTGCATGTGTTAAATGAAAACAAGTCAGTTGGTATCTCATTGATTCCTGGAGCCTTATTTTTTGCCAATGCTTTCCATGCAGCTTATCCATTTGAGATATGAGGAAATGATGGCATATTGGCTCAGTGAGTTGTACTGCTAACGCAAAGGCTTCCAGTTTTAATCCACCAGCTGCTCCACTAGAGAAAGAAGGATAGTCTATCCCTGTGCAATTTATAGCTTCTGAAAAACCCACTGGAGAGTCAGCGACAGGCTGCTTCCAATTGGACAACAAGGATAATGATCATGTAGTTAGGTATTATCAAATCAAATATGACTCATAGCAAGTCCATGAACAATGCATCTGAACCCTGGCCTGTCCTGAGCCATCCTCATCATTGCTGACACACTTGAGTCCATTCCTTCAGTCGCTGTGTCAATCCATCTCCTCAAGGGTCTGGTCTTCCTCTCTTCTACCCTCTCCCTTTCCAAGCATGATGTCCCTCTCCTAGAAGTAGACCTTCATAGCATCATGTTCAAAGGATGTGAGACAAAGCTTTTCATCTTTGCCTCTAAGGACCACTCTGACAATGTTTTCTCCAAGATATACCTGTGTGTTCTTTTGGTAGTCCATGGGACGTTCAGTACTCTTCTCCAGCACCACAACTCAAGGACTTCAATTCTTCTATTTTCATTATTCATTGTCCAGTTCTCAGAGGCATAGTAAGTGATTGAAAAGACCATGACCTGAGTCACAGGCACCTTAGTCCTAAAACTGACATCATTGCTTCTCAATAATTTGGAGAAGTCCCTGACAACAGACTTTCATAGTGCAATATGCCTCCTCATCTCCTGACTGCTGGTACTACGGGTATTGATTGTGGATCCAAGTAATATGAAGTCTTTGCCAATTTCATTTTTTTTTCTCTATCATGATGTTGGAAACAGGAGTGGCATCCACTTCTTAAACAACAAGCCTCTAGAAACTCTGTGAACTTTGATAAATGTTGGTAGTTATAGAAAGGCATCAGGCCTTTTGTTCATAGGGTCGCTATGAATCGTGCTTGACTCAAAGGCAAATCAACAACAACATCACGATGTTGCCTCTTGGTCCAGTAGTGAGAATTTTTATTTTCTTGTTGTTGAAATGTAATCCATATTGAAGGCCATAGTCTTTGATCTTCTGTAGCAAGGGCTCTTCAAGTTCTCACTTTCAGCAGGCATGGTTGTATCATCAGCATAAAGCAGGTTGTTGATGAGACTTTCTGTGATCCAGATGGCTCATTCTTCTTCCTCAAGTCCAGCTTCTCGAATGATTTGCTCCACATAATTGAATCAGTATTGAGAGAGGGTACAACCCTTACATACACATTTCTTAATTCCAAACTATGTGGCATTCTCTGTTCTCACAACAGCCTCTTAGTCTAGGTGTAGATTTCTCATGAGCACAATTAAGT